TCAAACAATGCCTCCCGATGTGTCGTTAATTGAGAACTTGAACGGAAAAATCATTTACTCTGACTAGTTGTGAAAATGTTGTCGAAGTGATTGCCAAAGCGCGAGTTCCTCTGATTGCATAGATGTATCCAGCTCGCAAGAGACCACCGAGTAATTTTCTTAACAGAACTTCACTGGAAGCAGGGTGTGCTCGGCGATTCATAAAAGCCAAAAACATAGGTTTTCACGATGTATCCTGGATCCTTTAGGTACATCTGTACATGTGCACACTGCATTTTGTGATCATTGTCAGAAATAGCAGAATCATAGGCGGAGAAAGATTGTAGTCAAAATCATTACCAAGTTAGCACCAAAGTGTGAAGCCCTTTACGCTGTTTACTCAGCTATGATGGTAATTTTGAATGCTTAATGCTTCATCGTATTTCAGAACCCTGGTACTATTTCTGTTTCAGAGGGCGGTGGTGGCCAAGTGGCTAGGTCACAACTAGTAACCTGGGTGTCCCGGGTTCAAACCGCTCCACCGCCGCCCGTCCTCCCTATGTCTGTATTTTCCCCAGGCAGCATTTGTACGCCTGCATCCCCCATCCTGAAGGTCTACTGTACATTTGTATATTCGATAAATAGAAATAGGAAATAAAAAAGACATTTATTTTACATTTAGGTTTCTCAACGCATCACGCAGCATGACACAGTGGTTCATTTGGACCAAGTGTGTGTGATGGATGAACTGGGTTCCCTATGGAACCCAGTGACGCCATACAGTCAAAGGTTCCACTCACTGTTTTCTGAAGCCGAGATGAGCTAAGTTATTCGACAATTCAGTTGTCTCTCCGTTCTTCCTAGGTAGATGGCAGAGCATACACACTTAGACGGATAGATCCGATTATATTTGGCGTTGGAAGACAGCGGATCTTTCACCGAGTGTCGGCAACGGGGCGATTGTGAAAATAACGATGGGTTCTGTTGCGTAGTAGCTACGCCTGACGACCGATTTTAGGCGCTTCATAGTCATCCAGTTTATATTGTCACCTTTGAAGATCAGTAACAAGACACTCTCATTTTATCTGCACCTGGTCTATCTTCCCGAGTACAGTTCAGCTGGGACTGCTTTGAGATGAACCCTTTTAGATATCCGTTAGGTTGTACAATTTTTCTAAATCTGTCACATCTATTATCCAGGGTAATTGCTGTTCATATCTGTCGTGTTCTGTAGAAAACCGTTTGGACTAGATCAATCTTATATCCCGTTGGAGCAAAGCTCGTAAAATTTAGATACTGTTCAGACCAGGTTTCACTTCGGAACACAGATCTTCTGATTGACCCACCCAATCGATGTGAAACGTTCACGTATAGAAAGAAGATACTGTCTTGTATTTCATCGTGGCATATTAATCTTATGTTCTGGTAAAGAATAACCAGGAGTTTAAACATTCTCCCAATCTTCCTTCGTAGCACAAA